TGTGTGTGTGTGTGTGTGTGTGTGTGTGTGTGTGTGTGTGTGTGTGTAGAGATAGGGTCTTGCTATCTTGCCCAGACTGCTCTTGACCTCCTGGCCTCAAGCAAACCTCACACCTCGGCCTCCCAAAGTACTGGAATTACAGGCATGAACCACTGTGTACCATATTGTACATATTTTTTTTAAACTCACACAAATTAGAATTTTGGCATAACTGGATATCTTTTTTTTTTTTTTAAGCAGGATTTATTGAGAGGGTAGAAAAGCTCCCACAGTGGGAGGGGACCCGAAGGGGTTGCTGATAACCGGATATCTTAAACAATCGTTTGTCCAGCCCCTCTGTTTGATAAATGAAAACAATTCAGAATTACAGATGCTAATTGTCTTCTGTAAAGTCTGGTGTTAAGAGAGCCAGAATTTAAACTCATGCCCAGAGCTCTCGACACAGAGTTTTTATCTCATGCTGTGATCTCAGAATCTCCTTAGACTCCTGTTTCTCCATCCAGCACACTAATAAGGCTCACTGCTCATGATTATTTCACGTGTTCATTTCTAAGAATTTTTGAAACTTAGGCTCTGATTTGAGTTGTGTGGAATGAAATGTTTATTATTTAGGATGCTGGTTCTTCTGGCCAAGATATTAGCAGAGGAGAAATACAAAGTAACAGCTGACCATTGATCAGAATATCCTTAATCAGCCAGCTTCATGCAGGTTTGAGAAGACATGCTTACTAACCCTTTGCACTTGAATGTCCACTCTGAGGAGACATCATAAATCTAGCAAACCACTCAGATGTCCCCTTTCAGGGGACATGAAGAGATTGCTGATGGCTGTATAGGACAAACTTATGCTACTGCAAATTTTCCAAACACGTATGTTTCCTTGAAGTTTTCCATTTAAATTACCCAAAAAGTTAAATAAAGAGATGGAATATATACTGAGCTATGGTCTATCCATTGAGAAGTTTTTTTCAGGAATCATAAATGTGTCCTTCCATATCATGTTCAAACAACAGACTGGACAATAAATTACATATTGTTAGTATGGGAGGAAGAAAATGAGACTGCTTGAATATAAAAACACCATGCAGACAATGCCCAACCAATTACTGTTGTGTAACACGGATCAATGAACCTGCAATGCATGTCAGTGACTGTTTCCCATGTTACCACACATTAGAAAAATATAAGGAACAACATTTTGACTTTTTTTGGTCTTAAGTTCCTCAATGTCCAAAGTTTCATTATGATCCAAATATCATTACAATAAACTAATTGGTTCCAATGCTGTATCATTTAATAGGAAGTGATTTGTTTTTCACTATTTTGTGAAGAAGAAAAATGCGGTCGAGTTGCTGGGAAGATGAGTTGCAGGGTGTCTCTTGAGTTAAAAGGACTGGATTTGGAAACACCCTTTACATGCAAGCAGAGAGTTAGAAACACATGAAAACCAAATTGTCTTTCCTCATGATCGGGGTCGAAAACTTCCAGAGTGAAAGCGTTTTTTCCAAAGTTTTCAATGAGAGTATGGTAGTGTATGTTTCCTTTCACTGTGTTTCTGGGTTGTTCTGTATGTCGTCATACAACTGGTGTTGAACGTGCCATGGCTCTCCTTGCAGCAGGTCTTAGAAGTGAATAGGGTTATTGCAGAGGACGTCATGACTTCATATGTGCGTTTTTTTCTTTTCTTTTCTTTTCTTTTCTTTTTTTTGAGTTGGAATCTCACTCTGTCACCCAGGCTGGAGTGCAGTGGCACGCTCATGGCCACTGCAACCTCAACCTGCTGGGCTCCAGCGATCCTTCTGCCTCAGTCTTCCTAGTAGCTGGAACTACAGGCATGCACCACCATGCCCGGCAAATTTTTTGATTTCCTGTAAGAGATAAGGTCTAACCAAGTTGCCCAGGCTGTTCTCAACCCTGCGGGCTGAGGCAGTCCACTCACCTCGGCCTCCCAAAGTGCTGGGGTGACAGACTGAGCCACGTGTGTTTTTCAAAGCAGAGCCAAAAGTGTTACAACTACCACCAGTATAGAGTTTCATGTATTTTTAATTAATATTGTAAGTGAGGAAAGTCGAAGAACCTGACTTTGCCAGCACCGTTTTTCAGGGGGAAAAGTTAAATCAGAGCTTGTGCTGGTTTATGAATGCTAGGCCAGAGTAACCAGCTCAGCAGATAATTTTTCTCACTGAGCTGACTGGCCTTCTGGCATCGCACGGGGAGGACAACCTTGCAGCCTGAGGCCTCTGAGTGGGACGGGGTGGCTTCCAGCCAAGAGCATGGCCCCTGAGTCTGCAATCTGGAGTGAAGGAGAAGCGCCCTTCACACATTGAGAATGAGTCCAGAACTTTCTGGCCTCTGAGGTCAAAAAGCTTGCTTAAAAGTTTATTGGAGAAAGCCGTCTTTTTTTTTCCTCTCAAGCAACGTGCCAAAAGAAGAAAAAAAAAAATCACATAAACAAATGCTGGATTCTTAAAAACAGCAGAGAGTGACCTTATCCGTGACAAACACCCCCTTCCTTCTTCACTGATAAGAACTGAGGAATGGGGTCTCACATTTTTATATTTTCATTTTATGTTTAAAGGAAAACTTTACAAACAACGTATGATTTTATTTTAATCACGGGGAAGACAAACAATTAAACAACTAATAATACGTGCTTTCCTGAAAAACAGACGTGGTCTAGCATGGCCATGGACTCTGAGAAAATAGAAATGAGAGATTTGGTGAAGGAGGGAGGGGAGGCTTGCCAGACCTTTGCTTTTATTCCAGAAGGCGAGTTTGGTGGTGTGATTATTTGCTTGTGTAACCGTTTAGAGATCAGTAGAGTCAAGGCTCTTAAGGGGTCTAAGCTACAGGTTATGAAAACTGGTTTCTTTGTGAACAGACTAAACTATTCACATTGTGTCCGTTTTAAAAGTTCAGAGTGTTTGTTTGCTATTTTGAAGAAGATCACAGAATTTAGGATTAGCTACGGAGAAAGTGAATTTACTAAGAAATTAACCGATCAGACTGCAATTTTGAATTGAAAAGAGATGTTTTTGCTTTGTTTGAAAAATATATGAGTGTGTTTCATGTATGTTTACAAAACATGTCATTGTATTGTCCTAAGCAGAAGATAACACAGTGCTTTATTCTGTGTTTTATTTATTTCTCCATGTGCTGCATTTTGTGAGGTTTATTTAAAACACTGGTACTGTCCAGCCTGGGTGCTGTCATCCCAGCACTTTGGGAGGCCAAGGCAAGTGGATGGCCTGAGCCCGCGGGTTCAAGACCAGCCCGGACAACTTGGCAAGACCTCATCTCTACAATAAAATAAAAAATAGCTGGGCATGGTAGTGCACGTCTGTAGTTCCGACTACTGGGAAGGCTGAGGCAGAAGGATCACCAGAGCCCAGCAGGTGGACACTGGAGTGGCCATGAGCGTGCGTGCCACAGCACTCCAACCTGGGCGAAGGAGTGAGACTCCAACTCAAAATAAATAAATTAATTAAATCAAATAAAACATCGGAGCTGAGTCCCGTCGTGAATCTGGGAGCGACCACGTCAGCCGCGTCTCGTGATGGTTTTCCACGGAGCTGTGAGCATCTTCACGGCAGTCGGGGCCCGTTGAGGCTGAAGTCTTGGCCGGGTGGGCGGTGGGCTTTGTGCGCCTCTTTGAAGTGGTGTTCTCCGGGGGGCGGTGTCCGGTGTCTGGCTGGCCACTCTGGGGAAGCGTGTCTGGCCATGCTCGCAAGTCCCTCCCCTGTGTGTGTTTCAGATGCAAGTACTGCGACCGGTCTTTCAGCATCTCCTCCAACCTGCAGAGGCACGTCCGCAACATCCACAACAAGGAGAAGCCGTTCAAGTGTCACTTGTGTGACCGGTGCTTCGGCCAGCAGACCAACCTGGACAGGCACCTGAAGAAGCACGAGAATGGGAACATGTCCGGTAGGTCCCTGGCTGTGCCCCCTGGGGAAGGGTGGCTGGGGTCTTCCTTCTTGTGTTCTGCTTTGACATAAACTCGGATCCTGGGGTAAAGACGCACAGAGTGACCCTGAGGTTCTAGAATCAAGGGCACGATGCGGTCCCAGAGGGAGTTAGGATTCAGTGGGCTTATCTGGGCTATGTCTTAGTCTTCCTGGATTCGTCTTATTGGGCATCTTTAAGCAAAGAGAAACATAGCCCAAGCTCGCAGGAGGCTTATTATCAAGATTTCCTGAACTGCAGGGGATAATATTTCCGCCTGCAGTCACAGAGTGTGGCCTTAAGCGTGGCAGGATTTCCAGAGTGGCAGCCCTGCACCAACCCATGCTCTGAAGGCTCACCTGGAACCAGGGCTGCGTGTGCAGAAGAAACTCAGAGACTCTCTCCTAGCTGTCCTTCTGAAGACTAGGGATGCGAGATCGTTGCCACACTCAGAGACACCGTAGCGTGTGTTTTTGTCATAGATTCTGGTGTAAAATTAAGTCCAAAGAAACTGGCAAAGCACTAGCTTTCCCTTAACTCAGAACTAACAGCACATATTTCACAGAAGGGATTATGGGTTTTCTTGTCTTTGGCTCCTGGAAGTTGGGTAACAAGCCATTAGCTAGTATTGCCAGTTGGCACTTATGTACAGAACCAACCAGGGCAGCCAAAAGATTTTCTGGAGAACAAGGGAGATCGTTGGGAGTGGGTGGGGGAGCAGTGTGGATTCAGGAAGAGAGATTTTGAGAACAGGCTAGAGCTGGATTTAGGTAGACTAGTTACCTTTAATTGAAGAGACTATTTTATGATGCCTGTTTCCTCCTCTGTGAAGACACATTGTTCATCCCCTTGAGTGGTTGGGTATTGCTTAAAACTATATACTGTTCATTTCCCTCACAGCCAAACGTTTAATGACCATGGTTTTAAAATGCTAGATTTTAGGCACAGACGTCCCATTCAGTGTGCAAAACCGGGCCCACTGTCTAACTCTGTACGCTTACGGCATGCCAGTCGGGCATCATTTTCTCTTCAAAGTTACTTCGGGAAAAAAAGCTAAAAAGGGAACATGTCAAAGTTGAACATTGGCTTGTTGGCCCAGATCATGACTTCTTTTAGCTGTGGGGACATCCACCCCCTGTTTTTTTCTTAGAGACCTCTGCGATGAACTGTTGAGTTGTAGATAGTCTGTGGGTGAGGTGAGCCGCAGAAAACTGCTGGTGGTGTGAGGCTAGACCCCGGATGAAGTCCCTCCGTGTAAGTCCCACAAGGGCTCTGTGAGAGGGGCCTTGTGATTCCTGCGTTTCGGGGGTGAGGAAGCTGGAGACCACCCTGTGCTCAGCAGGTCTGAAGCTGTCCTCTGAAAGCTGTCTGTCCTCTTAAGTGCTGGCCTCTGGCTGGTGTGTCTACATCTGCCCACCACAGACCCAGCAGAGTAGGGAGCAAGACGTTCAGCCATCCTCAAGCCTTGTCTCGTAGCGCACTTCAGCAGAGCAGCAAAAAGTTCAAGTTGACTGTGGCCGGGAACAGGGATGCAGCTTCTTAACGGCAGTCTAGACCTCATCTCCTGGCCTCCTCATGGTGTGACTAAAGCCGTCCCCATGCTGAGAAACTGAGGAGAGAAACAATGTCCTGGGGAGCCTGCCCTTGTGATTCTGAGGGACATCCATGGACGTGTGTGTTATGTTGACTTGGGGACGCCTCACCGCCCTAAGGTTGCGATCATTCACATTCAGAAGGGCGTATTTAAGAAACAGCGCTGGTCACGTCCGGACTGGGGTTCGGTAAGCAGCCAGAGTCATGTCACCCTTGTCATGCAAGCCTTTCCTCTCTGCACAGGCACGGCCACCTCATCTCCTCACTCTGAGCTGGAAGGCACAGGGGTCATTCTGGACGATAAGGAAGACGCTTACTTTACAGAAATCCGGAACTTCATTGGGAACAGCAGTCATGGCGGCCAGTCTCCCCGGAATGTGGAGGAGAGGTGAGGCCGCTGTGTCCCCTGCAGCCCTGCGATGCCCTAAGCCAGAGTGTTTTCAAACACACGTGCTTGCTACCTTCAGGGCCCTGACTCACACCTGCCGCTGGGCTGGTGTCTGTTTTGAGAGTGTGAAACTCCAGATCCTCTAATAAGCACTCTTCGTGCATTTGTTAGTTTAAATCTTATGGTGGCCCTGTGAGGTAGACAGCAGCTGTACATTTATCATGAAGGAACGGAAACATTGGAGGTCAGATAACTTGCCAGAGGTTGCATCGGTAGTGTGCAGAATTCACCCCAAGCCGTCTGGTGCCAGAGCCTATGATTTTACCACCATGTAGCTACTTGAGAGCTAAATAGATGGTTTTATCAAAATTTCTTAAGTGCCAGGGAAAGCCACCACAGGAATTGAGTGAATCACTGCTTAGTGGTTGAAACTGTTACATATCACATCTTACATATATCACCAATGATGTGTGACTCTCTCTCTGTCTAGCTGTATTTATATATGAAATGTCCATTGAGTGTCACCTAAATATCTTCTACATAGATCTGTTTCAGAGTCCTTAAGACTCACCGGCTGCTTTGTGACCTCGTAAGCTGGTGCTCATTTTATCCTGGTGAGTTTGTCCAGGTGGTTGTGGTCACCCTTGTTTTTGGTGGCCTGGTACAGCAGTCTGCTTTCCATTGCCAACATCAACATAGATGGTTCCATTTGTAAGAAAAAGCTTTTCACCCTGTTGCTTAACTGCACTTCACACCGCATAGGAAAGTTGATGAAACATGAGTTCACCAAAGAGACTGGACTTAGTTTTTCTTGCCTGTAAGTTACATCAGATATCTGTGACCGAGAACTAGACTTTTCTGAACATCAGTTTAGTTAATAAAAGTTCCATTCCTTTTCATCACCCAATATTATTGAATGAACATCCTCTATTTTTGATGCCATTGAAAGTCAAAGCTAGGTATATTAGGTAGTTTCTTCATTAACACAAACTTCAAATAATTTTTTTTTTTACCAAAATAACAAAAACATGTGACCACTTCTGAGAAAGACCCTTGCCAGTCACTGAGAAGTCTGATAACTACAACATCACGCAGCTGGGTATATTTCTCCATTGATTTGCCCACATGCGTGCGCATGCGTGTGTGTGTGTATGTGTGTGTGTGGTGTGTGTGTGTGAGAGAGAGAGATATGAAGCAGATGAGTACAATTACAAAGTAATAAGAACAAGAAACACACTCACAGTCTTAATTCTGATAATGATATTTACATGATGCAAATAAGAAATGTTGAACAGAAAGCACCACTGGGCGCCAAGAGCCTGTTCAGATATTCTAGCCTCTGGCTGGCGTCTCACAAGCCACAACACTGCACCGCCTGGCTTCAACGTGTACGTGGCGCAGGAAGAGACAGTGGAGTCATCCGGCTTTCTCCCCTTATCTCCTCTCAGACTACTTTTGATGAGTCATTTACCCCCTATGAATCACCATGCTTGAAAACCTAATTAGCAAATGGGTTTTCTTAACTGTGTTGGCTTGTGTTACTTTGGGTTCCCATCCACACACTCTTTTGTTCTTTTACTTTTTCTTTCGTTTTTTAAAATAAGAATTTTAATCCATTCATGCAGGCAAGTTGGCAGTATCTCTGGAAACTACTAATTTACGTCTGTGCAAAACATGTTTGCATCAGTCTCTGATAAAAGAGGCTAAGAGATTGATTACGTAAAAAGCTTAATAACAGTGACATGACTTTTTCCGGTCAAATGGATTTTTACTATGTGCGTCTGTCACATCCAAGATTGTTTTACTTATTTTTTAACCCTGGGAAATGTGAATGTTAAATTTCACTCATTTTTTGTTGCGTGGGAAGTGAAGGAGTGCTTGTTGATCTCTGATCTTCCGTCTTATGAAAAAATACTTAGGCTAGATGTAAAAATTGTGCGTGACTATTTCCATGGTCTCCATGAGGGCTCTGAATCAGTAGGTGGAGGAGAAGGGAAGACAGAGAGGATAAACGCCCAGGGGTCACACCCCCATAGGTTCATCCCGACATGCTTTCTGAGACAGGCAAATGCTGTAGCTCCTGTGGTCACACAGCTTTGAAAGGAGGAGGTCAGGAGATTTTCTTGAGTTCAAGACATGTGTAACATAATTCCAACTTTTAAATCTTGTGATGAAGCTTGAATTCAACTCACACATACTCCAGTGTTCATTTCAAAGCTAGAAAAGCTTATCTTATTCCATGCATGCCTTCAAGTGTATTACCCTGGAATCCCTGTATAATTAATCTTTGTATCATTATACTCCGTGATCACATATAACTATCCTTGCAGTCATAAACAGAAAGTTACAAATGACTGTTAACAATATTATGTTCAACCGGGCTCGGTGGCTTAGCCTGTAATCCCGCGCCTTTGGGAGACTGAGGTGAGTGGATTGCCTGAGCCCGTGGGTTCGAGACTCGCCTGGGCAGCGAGACCTCATCTCTACAATAAATCAAAAAATCAGCCGGGCGTGGTAGCGCATGCCTGTAATTCCGGCTACTCGGAAGGCTGAGGCGGAAGGATCACCGGAGCCCAGCAGGTCGAGGCTGCGGTGGCCAGGAGTGGCCACTGCACTCCAGTCTGGGCGACAGAGTGAGGCTCCAACTAAAAAAAAAAACAAAACAATATTATGTTCTTCTTTTGCACAGTTACATTAGAAATGCTTGCTAAGCAGACTGCAAAAGATATGGGGATAGTTCCATTTCTAGACCATTTCCCACCCTGGTATTCTGAGAAACAGGATCTTTTTTCACTTTCAGACTAACAAAAATAATCTGAAAATAGTATAGATAAGTGAGCTGTCAATCACTTCCAAGTTTGGGTAGAATGTCTAAGTGGAATATATCACAGATGTCACCTAGAAACAGTGAAAACAGCTGTCCCCAGCAGCTGCCTTCATGTCTGTGGACTTTAGTTTCACTTCAGGCGTGGAGTTGAAGTTGTTGCCAAGAAATGATAGGAGTTTCCCAGAAATCCTTTATTTTAAATGGTGGATATTTATATGGTAATTAGGTGCATTATGCAGAGAAAGCATTTGTGTGCTTTTTTATAGTATATGTAGCCATATCATTTATCAGACAAAGCCTGATAAGAAGTAGGAGACTGGGATTGTTTTTCCAGTTCTGCCAGCTACAGTCTGAATAATCGTGCAGTTATTTTCTTTCTCATCTCCTCCTTTGTGACATTGTGCTGTTTTCCCATGGTTTCCATAAAGCATGAACAACAAAAATTTCCTGTGTAGGTACTGAAGCTCTAAACTGTTCCTCGGAGGACATGGTAAGACCGCTATGACAAGTTCCGAAATGAAACCAACCATGGGACCTTCTTTTTTTTCCGTTTGCTTTTTGGAAGGATGAACGGCAGTCACTTTAAGGACGAAAAGGCTCTGGTGACGGGTCACAGTTCAGACTTGCTGGATGATGAAGAGGTGGAGGATGAAGCGCTGTTAGATGAAGAGGAGGAAGACCACGGCGGGAGCGGAAGACCGGGAAAGGAGCCGGGCACCAGCAGTTTGCACGAAGGCAGCCCCGGGGAGGACTTCGAGGAGGCTGGGGCCCTGGAGGTGGGCTGCAGGACATCCCCAGGGAGGTGAGTGGCGTCGGAGCCTCAGCCGCTCTCCACAAGAGCAGATCCACACGGTCGCCGGGCCCCCGCGCTGTCCTTTCACGAGAGCAATGTGCAGGCGATGAGCCGCACGCAGGTCGTAAATCACAGAAGTTAAATTTGCACGAGCACGGCAGACACGGGATCGGCTTTAAATAGGTGGGAATGCGGGGGCCGTCAGCGTCGGCCACGAGCCGGCGAACACGTCGGGCACTCCGGTCAGCCAGAGGCAGGAAGGAGGAGCTGACAGTGACAGAAGGATGCAGTCTTTTGTCTTTAGACTCCGCCTATAAAACCCAAAGAAGGGCAACGTTTCCAACATTGTCTAATTCATTCAACAATCCCGTGTGATTGTCAGTTAAATATTAATCGAGATAAGTTTTACTTCATCAGGTACAAATGTCATCGACATAGATGATAACTTTTTAAAAACCCAAGAGTTAAATTGATGAGACTATTACATTTTCATGATGAGACTGGGTGCCGGCTAGATATTATCTTAACTGGACGTACTTTACATGGCAGTTACAAACTCCATCCCTACACATTGCTGGCTAATGTGTCACTGACTTTAACTCTTTATCTCAAATATATGCTGGGCTTCAGTAGCCAGAAATCTTAAGAGAAATACATTTTTAAAACATGATATTTGTAGATTTTTTTTTTTTTTTGAAATGCAGTAATCAATGCCAGCGGTTTCACACTTCAGAAACAACATGAAGTTTGTCAGCTGTGTAGACAGATTCAAATGAAAGTGATTTGATTAGAGCAGACTGAAAGATAATTGTGAAAAACCTGTGTTTTCTGTCGGTTTATTTTAGGTACAAAGAGGAAGACTATAAAACAGGGCTTTCTGCTCTGGACCACATTCGGCACTTCACAGACAGCCTCAAAATAAGGAAGATAGAAGAGGCGCAGTACCCCGAGGCCGAGCTGTCTGCTTTCAGCACTTCCCACATGCCTGAGGACCTCAAGCAGCCACTGCACAGGAAGTCCAAGTCCCAGGTACGCATCTCCCCCAGTGTGGCATCATGATCCCATGGTGCACGCAACACCCATTCCGTGGATTGCCAGACAGCAGATAACCCGTCTTTAAAGTATTGTCGCATCCAAACAGGGTCAGATGCTTTCCTTAAAACACTCTCATGTTTACTCCGTCTGTGACCAGATCCCAAATAGTTAACCCATGAGACTGCATCCTGCATAGAAACTTTTAGGACAGATCCTACCCAATGATAATCTTCCCGTTGCTTTCTAATTCTCTTACTTCTCCATAGATAGTCCATGATGTGTGTTTGCAAATATTTATGTATTATCTCAGAATTGTTTTCCGTCTACAATTTCATCAACATCGTAATTACATTTTAAGATTTGTGGAAAGTGTATTCAGCCTTTCTTGTCCCTTACTAGGTCTAGTAAATTGTTACGTATAGTTAATTAGCAAGTCATCTAATTTTGGAATTTAGAAGTAAACTGAGGATCAGAAATGAAATGCGTCACTGAGTTGCCAAAAATGTGCACCAACTTAGTGGTAGATCGAGAAATAAAACTTGTCGATTTTTATTGAATGAATGAATAAGTGAATGAATGGTGCCTGGGTTTATTGGGATCTACAGCATTCTGACAGCTCTGTGGTAACTAAAAATAAATCCATTTAAGGACCCATAAATAGCAATTAAAAGAGCCTCAGTGCTTTTATTACAAAATAAAATAAGTCAGTACTTTTTGTCTGACATCCATACTCAGATTATTCATTCAGGTCAATTAAAAAAAAAACACCTTCCTATTACCATATTTACTGGTCACTTTGTTCTAATCCTTGATCCATTCGTCCATTTTGTAAGTGGCCTGACAGTTCAAACAGTATGACCACAGTGGTTGGTACACCTAGAAATGATCTCCTAAATGAGATATTCTGGGTTGGGTTTAATAACAAATGTAGTAATATCTCAACAAAGGTGAGAAAAACATTAATTAGATAATACTAATCATTAGATGTTATTCAGCTAAGTGAGAAGTCTAAGATATTGTGTGTGGTAATGGACAAAATAAATGTTCCTTTTGGATTGAAGTTAAAACAGCCAGCCTCTAACTAAAGGGTCCTGGAACCTCCATCCATGAATGTGAGAACATCACTTACAGGCCAGGGCACCAGATTCATCACTGTAAAGGGATGTGGGCAGAAAAAATGTCCAAGATGCCTTTCTGCACTAGGATCCAGGGACATAAAAGTGAATTTTTCAGTTATTCACATCAGAAGTAAACTGGCCAGAGCAAGACATCTCATTTTCATCTAGTAGGAGGGACTAGGGTCTTTAAAACCTTGATTTCACATTCTTCCTCCTGGTTGAACAGAGATGGGGAGTGGGGTGGTGTCCAGGTTTTCTCTTTCTTAATTTATTTTATTGTTCCACCAAAAATAATTTTCATCATGAGCCACAACTATGAAAAACTCCAGAAACTTCACATGTGGTAGGAAGCAAAGGTGTCTGAAAAGTTTGGAGAATGAATGTGACGCGTTCAGCACCAGCTGAAAAAAGTCCCTGCCCATCTGGGCCGATTGTCACCAGAATAATAAATACTAGCAGTCAACAATCTCAGCTCATATTTTCCTCGCTACTTGATGGCGTTATATCCATCAGTTTGAAAGTGATCTGATCCTTTCGCAAACTGACTTTATTTCATGAGATTGTTCATTCATTTATTCATTTACTGGTTTATTAGCTGCCAGGTATATGCTGGCCTTTGATCCTTATGCACAAACACGTTGATTCCCTTCGATGAACCAAAGGAAGATGTTCTGTTTTGGCCATCCTCTAGAATCTGAAGGCTCAGATGCTACACTCAAAGCATTTGTGTATTTATCCTGTCTGGCTTTTATGGTGATTGAATCCAAAAGAACTGGCCGATTCAACAGTAGCTGCATTTTGTATGGAATCTTCTCCTAAAAACTCTATCTCATAAAAATTAATTTCGGGACCATCAGTCTAGTTATGTCAGGCCCACACGCTAAGCACTTTCCTGCGGTTACCCCCCAGACCTTGGAGGCAAAGACCTTATTATGCTCCCTCTTTTATGTGAGGAATGCCAAGTGACCTTCCTCAAGGTCGCACAGCCAGGTGAAGTAGGGGCAGGTTGAAAGCCAGGAATGAAACGCAGGATTCCAACATTTTCTCCGCACTCCCTTTCATCTTTAGTTTCGTTAGTTATTCAGAGTATTATTTCTCCAGAGTTCTAAAAGTAGGCGCATAATCAGAGTAGCCCGTTTGTGTTCCGTGCTCACCTGTCCCCTGCCTGAAACTACAAAAGAAAGGTTTATTTATCCTCAAGTCCCTGGTTCTAGCGCCATGCCTGACATGAAGCACATGCTCAGGGAGTGCTTGTCAAGTGGACCAAGAGCTCCCGTCAGGGTCCCACAGGCCAGCGGCGGACTTGAAAGTCAAATGTGGACATGTAGAGCAGTGACCCAGCAAATCACAGCCAGCCAGCACGGGCAGCTTCCTACTGAACACCACGATCATGGAGAAACCACCGACCAGCCACAGGTCCCAGCATGACTCCAGAGGTGGAATTCTGCCTGACAGCAGGGGCATTTCGTCTTTGTTTACAGACAGTGGAATGTCTCTGGCAGGACTTTAATGATCCCACTTTGACAAGCAAGTTTAGCAGTGGATGAGCCCAACAATAGTGGCTCAGCAGTGAAAAGTTCACGCACAAGTCAAGACCAGACGTTTCATTTGAATATTTGACTTGGCAGTGAACGGGGGATTCTCTGCATGGTTGTTCAGAACCACGTGATGATGGGGAAAGAATGGCCCTGCCTCTCCGAGCACCTCCTGCTGGCAGACGCTGGAGCCCACCTTCAGTAGAGCATCCTGGGGGGTCTCCGGCTTTGTTTTCTTTCTGGTGAAGCTGATTTGATCCCCCTCAACTCTCAAGGTCCCCGGGTGCCAGCACTGAACGGGTCAAGACTGGGGGGGAATCAGAGGAAGGACACTGGATTAAAAGTTGGGAGAAATGAATCCTGGTCATGCCTCCCCACTGTCTGGCCGGGTGCCTTTGGGCAAGTTGCCTCCCTGAGTGCTTTTGGCTGTAGTGTCCGTGAATCAGGCTGTCTCCTCAGCTGGGCACCAGCTCTGCCCAGCAGGTCTGTGTCCCCTCATCTGCCCTTTGTGTCCTTAGCTCACATGGGCATTTTCGGTGAGTCGAACGTGTGTAGTGGATGGCTGGTATGTTTATGGGTGGGCCAGGAATGGCTCATGGTTTTCACTGGAGGCACGGTTGATATTCTCGACAGAATGTTTGCCTTTTTTGCTCCATGGGATAGGTCACTTTGGGGCCCCTGGGCACGGAAGACCGGTCGCTGTCCCTGGTCGTTTTTACCAGAAAGTCTGCCCTGTCAGCATACATGCCCGTGAAGGATGCCCCGCTCCCTGTCACCCCTACCCATCCCCCATGACCCCCCATGGCACTCTCTGACCTGAGAGTGATGTGTTTCACTGCCATTCACTGAGTCTCTCCTCCTCCCCCAGGCCTATGCCATGATGCTGTCATTGTCAGACAAGGAGTCCCTCCACCCCACGTCCCACGGCTCTTCCACCATGTGGCACAGCATGGCCAGGGCCGCGGCGGAATCCGGCGCCCTCCAGTCCATGAACCACGTATGACACTGCCGGAGCTGGTCTGGAGTTGACCAGGCAGGGGCCGAGCCAACGGTTGCGTGGCTCTTTTCCGTCGGACTGTTCCCAGACTGCTGAGCAGAATGCCTTACAAACCTGCAGGGTCAACCGCCTAGAGCCTGGTGACCTTAAACGGAACAATTTACAAACAAGAAGGAAAGAAAGAAAGAAAGAAACTATTTATTCTCGGTATTTTGTTTTGCACAGCAAAGGCAGCTGCTGACTTCTGGAATATCATTCAGTGCCACTTCGAGTGACTCAGTGCAACCTTGCTGGGCCGAAGGTGTCTTCCAGGGGACCCGCCCAAGGGTGGGCGAGGGGCAGTTGAGACAGCAGCGTCAACACAGATGAACACTCCACGAGAACCAACAGTCAGTTTTTGTACCAGATCACCTGACATGATTGGGAACAGTTGCTTTTTAATTACAGATTTAATTTTTTTCTTTGATGAAGTTTTATGTAATTTAATCCTTTGAAGACAGAAGTAGTTGGATGAAATGTGCAGTCGGTTATTGTAGAAGCTGAGAACAGGGGGCCCGTGTCCCTGCTTCTTCCCTCTGCCTTCTGAAGTGCGTTGCTTGAACCAGGGAGGAGGGTCTGTGTGGATCGCACAGGGTGGTCATTCCTGCGCGCGGAGGCCAAGTCGGTGAAGTGACCTGTTCACCCCCAGAACCGCCGTACCACTAATCAAATGTTTGCCAAATCCTTGTAATAACATCTTCATTTTAGACAATCATGTCGCTGTTTTTAATGTTTAATTTTTTGTGTGTTGCGTGTATCATGTATTTATTTGTTGGCAAACGATTGTTTGTTGATGAAAATAGCACTGTCCTGGTCAGCCACCACTTTGCAACGTCCGAGGCACACCCCTCTGAATTTCGAGGACCAAGGAGACCCGACCTGTGTACGGGGGTGCCAGATGGTGTTTGGCTTTTCTTAACATTCCTTTTTTGTTGTTGTTTTGTTTTCCTTCTTAATGAACTAAATACGAATAGATGCAACTTAGTTTTTGTAATACTGAAATCGATTCAATTGTATAAATGATTATAATTTCTTTCATGAAAGCATGATTCTTCTGATTGAAAACTGTACCCCATATTTTATGCTGGTTGTCTGCAAGCTTGTGCGATGTTATGTTCATGTTAATCCTATTTGTAAAATGAAGTGTTTCCGACCTTATGTTAAAAGAGAGAAGTAAATAACAGACTGTATTCAGTTCTTTTGCCCTTTCCTGCGGAACCAGATTTGTTTTCTTTTTGTTTGTAATCTCATTTTGAAATAATCGGCGAGTTGAGGTACTTTCTTCAGATGCTTTGTACAATAGAAACTGTTATGCCTTTCAGTGCATTACTATGGGAGGAACAACTAAAAATAAAGACTTACAGAAATGAGTGTTTTCCCCACTGCGTAGTGTTTTCCCTTCCCATGCAGCGTGAGTTTCCTTTGGGATCCACTGGTTTAAAGACGCGATGTCCGGGACCTGGCACCCTAACCAATATGGGACTCAGGAGCCCATCTGTGTTGTTTTGAGGTGACACACACGATAGTCCTTGGTGACAGCAAGTCCTGCACACTGTGATGACCTGTAGAAGCTGAGAACAGAGGGCCTGTGTCCCTGCTTCACTCTGCCTTCTGAAGTGCGTTGCTTGAACGCCAGGTGTCACATGGGCCAAACCCAAGTCTGGAGTCTCCCACGTTCACAACACCCTTAACCGGGACAGAGCATGACCCATGGGTTTCCACTGGAGTTGACACCATTAGTGTTCAAAGAAACTCAGCTTCTTATTTTTGTTATCAATGCTACAAGTAGTGGTGACAGATTCACAAGCGGGGTGGGGAGAGGGAATCCTTTAACTTTCAATGTTCCTTTTAAGTTTTTTCCCCTTTTTCATTGTTATAATCAGTGTAAACATGATTTGTGTTTTCTTTCTGGTGACCAAAAAAAAAACATTGCATGGGTCTACAGATTCTTCAAAACAATCATTTAGCCCAATATTTCATCAAGTCTAAGTTACTATAATTTCCTTGGTCACTTTAATTTTGATGAAAATCTAAGTTGTCTCCTGCTTTTCAGAAGCATGAATATTTTCGTTTTCATGCATGCCATGTGTGTTCATGTGCAGAGGTGGGGTGTGTGGAGTAAAACTTCCACATGATAAGTTATTCTATGGGGGGGTAATTATTAACAATTTTTGCTCCTTAAATATGATGCCAAATTGTTTTAGAATAGGGTTATTCCAGTTTTGGCTGACAGTAGAGGTTTCAACAAGGCTTGAGAAAGAAAGAAGTATGACGTGGAAATAGATCTGCACTAACTCCTAATTCCTTTTTTTACTCATTCTTAACCACAGTGTCAGATAGAGAATCTCCTCACATCATTCTACATACTGGTAGTATAGGAATTAAGAATATGGATTATGAGCCAGGCTCGGTGGCTCAGCCTGTAATCCTGCACCTTTGGGGGGCTAAGGTGAGTGGATTGCCTGAGCCCGTGGGTTCGAGACCCGCCTGGGCAACTTGGCGAGACCTCATCTCTACAATAAATAAAAAAAAAATGAGCCAGGTGTGGTAGCGCGCACCTATAGTTCCAGCTACTCAGAAGGCTGAGGCAGAAGGATCGCCAGAGCCCAGCAGGTCGAGGCTGCAGTGGCCGGGAGCAGCCACTGCACTCCAGTCTGGGTGACAGAGTGAGACTCCAACTCAAAAAAAAAAAGAATATGGATTATGTATTTTCTTTTTTTACAGAAAGTTTACACAGGAAGAAGTATTCAGAAAACATATCTAAGCCATAAATCTACAACTAAGAAGTGTAAGAATCTAGCATTTGTGATGTAAGACTAACATTTGAGAAAGTGTGATGCATTTTTCATTGTTTTAAAGAATACACTGTAAATTCTGAAGCAATTCCCATACTCCCAATACTGCCGATTTTTTGTTAAGACTTTGAACATAGCATTTCAGTTGTTTGTTAATATTTAGTTCCTCCAAATTCCAAAAAGACTTTCAAGTCTTACATTTCTGCATTTTTTTTCCATGTATTTTGCCAGTCGTTTACCACATGGGCCTGGAGGCAGATAGTGGGAGACAGTGGAGACAATCTTGAACTTGGAGTCCAGGGGCCTGGTTTTGAGTTCTGGCCTCACCACAGGAGTTACATGGCTCCCCAAATCTCCTTTAGGAACCCAAGGTCGTAACAACCGCTTCTGCTCCTTCACTGGGTTTCTGTGAAGGTCAAAATAAAGCTTTAGAAGATAGATATTTGGTAAAAACTCTACAAATGCAAAGCATTTTATAATTTTTATAGTAAGAGCTAAAGGAATAGAAAGTGTGTGTGTGTGTGTGTGTGTGTGTGTGTGTGTGTGTACACTATGCTAAGTGGAAAAATTTACAACATCATAAATCTAGCCTAGACTCTACAAGAGTGAATACAGAAGTTTTCTGGAAAAAAATTAGAAGTGTTTGTTGAAAGAATATGTAGGTTTAAAAAATAAGCTTAACTTTTTGAAAACGAGATGTTCATTATAATTTTTAAGTTGACAAATAAAAATTGCCTATATTTGTGATGTACAACACAATATTTTGATAAAGGTATACACATTGGAATGGCTGAAGCAAGTTAGTCAACATGTACATTAACTCATACATTTATTTTGTGTGAGTGGTGAGAACTCGTGTAATCTACTCTCAAGTGTTTTCAAGAATACAATATATTCTTATTAACTACAGTCAGTCACCAGGATGTATAATAGAGCTCTTGAACCTTTTCTTTTTGTAGTGTAATTTTTGAGGGCTCACAACAAATTCAAGCACAGTTAAGAAAACACATTCACAAAGTAGGGCAGACATAATTTTATGTCTATCAGTGATCATCCATTGATGATATTTCTGGAAATAACAAATAAAATGATTTCTTCACTTTAAACTGCTGGTTGTGTGGCTGCCATGCTATGTTGTGTCCATGACACAGTCCATCCTCAGGATGACACACAGACTGTGTTCCTCCCACGTCACCAATGAGCAAACCCCAGCTCAGAGAGTTCCAGAAGCTCACTCAAGTAGCCAGCTAGGAACCACGGACTGAGAACTCAGGCCTGACTCCTGAGCCCGCACTCAGCGAGAGCCTTAGAACTCCCAGTTCAGGCACAGCCAAAGAAAAGACACCCAGGAATGATCAGGAACTGAGGCCATGTGTCCCCAGAAATGGAGGCTGTCAGAGTGCAAAGGTTCCCGGCTATCCGGGCGACTGGGCTGGCTGTGAGGGGTTGGAAAGGTGAGCCCAAGGCTCGGCCCCAGGCTTTTCATCCAGGTTGCCTCAGTTCAGAACCAACAACACTGGTGCTTTTGGAAGATCCCAAATGCTTCCTTAAGAAGGGCCTTTGTCATACTGTTTGCCAGTTCCTAGCAGGTGGCTTGAGGCTTACCCCTTCATTATTCTTTCTGTACAAAAAAGATTTACCCCAAGCCTGCACTTTGAACTTGTCCACACAGCATGATGTGAGCCCTTTCTGAGAGATTCACGACTCACCATGAACGCCAACGTGCCCCAAGTACAGTCGGGAAGCCACTCACTGCATGCTCCCAGTTCGAGCCACTGTTCATGGGGAAACGCAGGGAAGGTGGGCAGGAGGGGAGAAGAAACGTGCCCAGCAGGCTGGGCTGGGAGCCCTGGAGAGCCCCAGAAACTGGCCAGCCCCTCCCCTGTGCTGGGGGGGGGTAGTGTCGTGTTGTTTGACCGCCGCCTGTCTGTGCTTGGAGCAACATCTACTTGGAAAAAGAAAAAAGTCACCTCACCCCTGTCAGAATGCAGGAACATATGGAAAAGAAAAGAAAAGAAAAGAAAAATAACCAGAATTAGCAATGGCGATAGCAGCACAGAGAAGTCAGAACCCTTTACTGCTGGTGGGAATATAAAATGGGGCAGCCAGTGTAGAAAGACAGTATGGCAGTTCCTAAAAAATGATGATTCCAATTTCGGGTGTTTGCCTACA